GTAGCTGATAGTGTACTAAAAAGGAAAACCATGGTTTCCCTCATGGAGCTTACATTTTGTTTAGAAAGTTACATAGAAAAACAAGGAACAAAGAAATGAAAAAGAGGAATATCAGAGAGTACTATGAATAATGTTAAAAGAAGGTAATGTGTTAAGAAAAACTAGGTGGGGACAGGCTTGTTGGCACATGCCTTTAATACCAGCTCTCAGGAGGCAGAGGTAAGTGGATATCATTGAATTCAAGGCCAGCCTGGTCTATGTATAGAGTTCCAAGCTAGCCAGGGTTTCATAGGGAGATCTTGTCTCAAAAAAAGTTAAAACAGGACTGGAGAGATGGCTCAACAATTAAAGAGCAGTGGCTGCTTTTGCAGACAACCCTGGTTCAGTTCCCAACACCCACATGGCAGCTAACAACCGTCTGCAACTCCAGTTCCATGGAATCCGACACCCTCCTCTGACCTCTGTGGGCACTGTATGACACAGGTGCACTTAACATAGATGCAGGCATAACACTCATACACATAAAATAATAATATTTTTTAAAATTTTTTAAAAGAGTAACTAGGTGTCTAATGTAAAATGGATGATCAAGAAGGCATCTCTGAAGAAGTGACATTTGCACCTGAATGATGAGTCAGACAGATACAGAACTAGTGGGGAAGTAGTCTAAGCAAAGTGAACAAAAAACACAAAGGTACTAAGCCAAGAATTAACTCCATTTTAATGAAGAATGAAACAAATATTGCACCTGAACTCAATGTGAAGAGAATGATGGTAAGATATTAGGTGGGCTGTAATAAAGGCCAAATTATGGGGTTCTTCTCTTAGGGTTTGATTTTATAGCATCACTTCTTTACTAGTTAGCTATAAGACTTTTGGTAAGTTCCTTACTTTAAGTGTCTGTGTTTTACTTATGGAGAGGGTAAAAGTACCAATATCATAATGCTTTAGTAATGATTAAAGGAAATGAGTTTTTTTAAGATACAGAACCAAACATAAGCACACATTCAGTAAACCTTAGTTGTTCTTTTATATTAGAAAAAGCCTCTCTTCATGCCTGACGGGGGTTTAGAATCCAATAGCTTGCGTTTAAGTCCTGCTCCAGGAATTTATTAACTATGTGTTTGGACAAGTTACTTAGGTTTCTAAACCCTAATTTTTCATAAATATCAATAACTATATTAATAAATACACTTAAAATTATGTGTTACTTTGAGACAAGTTTGGACATTTGAATTGCATTAATATTTCTATTATTATTCAAACTCTCTCTGGTCTCATATATAAGAGAGAATAAGCATTCATTTTGTGAAATATTTTCAGTGGGAGCTGGGAAGACCATTTACACCTCTCCTTAGTGTCTAAAATTTCACCATTAAAAATGTGTTCCTTCTTAAAGGGAGGGACTCTAGTTATGATGACTAGACCTCAGTGGATGTACTTGCACTGAGGAGCATTTGGGGACACTAACGACTCAACAGACCCATCAATACAGAATGCATGAAATTCAGTGGGAGGGCTATGAGGGGGTGCCAATGGGGAAGGAAGTGTAAAGATGATTAAGATGTTCTGTATAAAATATACATAAATTCAACAAAATATTTTTTAAAAATTAAGTGACAAGCCTCCCCCGCCCCCCAAAAAATGTGTTCCTGTTGGGTATGGTGGCAAATACTTGTAATTACAGGACTCATAAGACTCAGGCAGAAAGACTGAGTTTGAAGCCAGCCTGGAACACATAGTGAGACCCTGTCTCAAAAAAAATGTGTTCCTTAGAACTCATGTCCGTGGATGGATATGATAGTACTGGTTAAAAATACACACCTAAGTGACATATAGAACTGGAATCAAATCAGACTTCAAGATTCTTTGGTGCATGGAGGTTCAATTTTCTCATCTACAGAAACTGGCTAATCATAAGACCACCCTTACAGGACTGTTAGGAAATAATGAAGTACTTAAGTATAATATTTGGCCTGTAGTGAACACCTTCAAACATATTCCCAACATTAATAAGTATTGTTCTAAGTATGAATGAGTTCAGAGTTCCAGTGTTACAACCATCAGGGATCTCAGAGTTGACTGAATCCAACCTGATTACTTTACTACTAGAAAAACTCAGATACTAGGGAATACAGTGTTTGCCCAAGTTTACACACTGAATAAGAGAGCTGACTATTAAAAAAAAAAAAAAGAAAGATTTGAGCCTTCAGCTCAAATTTCTTTATTATAGCACAGTTAGCATTCAGATCCTTTACTGAGAGAATGTTTTACTGAAAGGGCAACAGAGATTGGGGTCTTTAGAACCAATTTCAAAACAAACATTAGTTGTTATGAATAATGCCACAATGAATATGAGCGTACAGACATCTCTGTGCTATTTTGACTTCCATTCTTTCACTTATATACCCAGGAGTGCTAGAGCTATCTGACAACAATATGTTGTTTTCTTCTGTCAAAAAAATTATCATGGAGGCTATAAAATCTAAAATCTGTATTCAGTTTTGATGACTCCTATCCAGAATATCAAAAATTCTTTCCCTTCAATCTTTCAGATTTTTAAGAATTATCATTTACTGTGGCAGTCATCGGTCCCCATCACAATCCTGTTGACCCAGTTTTTAAAGCCTTTTGAATTAGACAGACGCGTTCTCTAAGATACAACACCAAAAGAAGGGATAAAAGCAATAGGAAGAATTTCATGTATCATTTAATCACCAAGCACAAGCAATATTTTTGTAGGTGAAATGTTGGAAAGAACAAAAGCCACAGGAAAAACAGGTAGACTGCATGAGACATGGGAAACCAAACTAATATAAGGTATAAGGCCTTGGGGACAAGGAAAGAAGGTAGAAGACACATAAGCAGGTGAAACAAATAGCTTCTGTCATCTTTTTTTTTGGAGGACTTGGCCTCAGAAGTCATTAAAAGAAAGTTTCTTTTCACTTTAAATGTTACCTAGGGTTGATCTTGCTGGTCATGAGGTCAAAAGAGCACTGTTTTAGATGGTTTAATGGGGGAACCAAGGCTCAATGTGGGCTTTCAAAAATGACACTGTTTTCCCTGAGTGTAAGAGACATGAGTTCAAACTCCAGGAATTCCATGTACTACCATCCTAGAACTGCCACTTACTTAAGCTATCACTCTGTCAGCCATTAACTCTACTCTCATATTGTTGTCAGATGGCTATTTTGTGTCAATTTTTAGCCTAGTGGTTCTGAGAGTTGCTATCTTGGGACATTTTGTCAAGTTCTAGAAATCTGGTTCTAAAATCAGCTTGGGGGCTTAAGAGATGTCTCAGTGGTTTAGATCATTTGTTGCTCTTCCAGAAGACCAGAGTTTGGTTCCTGGCAAGCACACTAGACACCTCACAACCCAAACATCTAGTACTCTAACTCCAGGGGAATCCAACACCTTCTTCTGGCATCTATGGGCACACACACACACTGACACACACACAGTTTGACTTGAAAGCCCAAATATAGTCATGAATTCCTTGGTTTCTGAGGATTGATTACAAAACAGTCCATGAATATCCAAATTCATGGATGCTCAAGTCCCTTATATAAAATGGCTTAGCGTTTGCACTTGACCTATGCATATCACTCAGTATATTTGAAATCATTTCTGAATTACTTATTTCCAAATCTGACATGCATATTATATAAATAGTCATATCATTACAAAAATGATAACAAGAAAAATGCCTATACACTTTCAGTACAGGTGCAATTATTTTTCAATTATTTTTTCTCTAACATAGTTGCATCTTGGATGTGGAGCTCATGGATAGAAGGCCAACTGTAAATCAAAGCCAAGTTAGAAATTTCAGGAAAGGAGGGAATAAATATTTTACTCTGACCTCTGAAGCATCATTGAGTAATTTTTCACTTGTCAATTCTGCAATAGTTTTTGAGATAGCCTCAAAAATAAAGTATCAGAATTATTTTGAGAGAAAATATACTTTAATAAATCATTTTTTGAACAATGGAAAGAAGGAAGCAAAGGAGAGATACCTTCAGGTGTCCAAAATACAGAAAACTTGAAGGATACATCATTGACCAAAATATAATAGCTAAATATTCCAAGTATATTTTATTACATTTAATAAACATTTAAATGCAAGTTGTAATTACAGCTGAATGATTACCTTTGTTTTAAATGTAAAATAAATTCAATTTTACATTTTGTTATACATCAAATTTTGTTGGTTATAATATTCACATCGCCATTTTTATTATTAGCAAGTTACATTAAATATAAAATGAAAATTAACTAAAGTAAAATGAAATATGAAAAAGTAAGCAACATTAAACACAGAAATTATACAAAAAGAAAGTGATTTAAAGATGTACTTTATGTAAATTCACTTAACATCCAATTAAATGATTTGAGATCATAATCCTAAAATTATCAGCTAAAAACAGAGTGCACATATGCCTTATTTATACAAAAAAAAAAGAAAAGAAAATACTAAAGGAAACAAACAAGCTATTTATACTTTAATTCTAATTTGATCTTACAACATAACCTAACTGAACTTCATCTAGCCTAATTTTATCTAACTGAGCCTAATGCTTTATGTATTCCAACTATTACCTTTCTTTGCAAGACAATGTAATGCATGGTTATTTTAGGACTTTAAATCATGAATTCATTTCTACTATTGTTCTATTGTTTTAGCTCTTTCTTTTTTGAGTTAGTTCCTAACCCAAGCACAAATTCAGCAGTTTTTAAAGTTGTATTGTGCTCACTGATTTTTACTTAAAATTTTATTATTTCTTAAAACTACATATAATTAGAAAGAAAAACAGGTGCAAGAATTTCAAGAATTTACCTATTGTTTTGCAA